ATAAAATCAAATGCGGAACTAATGGCACATTTATGACTTTTTTAAAGGTATATTTTGACTGCGTTTGAATATGTTGCTACTTGTCTAAACATTTTTGAAATTGGAATATTGTCTTTATTTTTGCATCTGGATTGCTAATTCATATCTTTCGCATTTTTTGCTGTCAAAGCAATTGAATACCAAGGAATATTAATGTAAATGCGGCAGTATTGTACTCTTTAACAACCGTATTTGACGCTTTTCCGAGAAAAACTCGGATAATGAGTCGTTTGTTCGATGATTATCGATTAAAAACTTGCTCCATAGTCCAAAACTTTACTGGAATTATCAGTTTTTGGCTTGTTGCAATACGTAAAAAATTAAGGGTGTGCAACCTGGTCAATGCTGACTTGACTCTGAACGCAGGATTTGTGCAACAGTTTTTTTTCTTGCAGCATAAATTAAAACCATAAATTCAAGCAGTAATAAATTGCTATAAAAAGGGTTTTTTTTCACTTTGATCACTAATAATTTTGTAAGGCTAAAAAACCTGTTTTTACTAAATTGTAAAAGACACATGACAGTAACATCCAAACAACCTTTGATATGACTTCATTAAAAAATTTGCTTCTAGAGAATGTAAAATAGATTTCGCTATAATTTTTGCTAAGGAGGGGACGACAATAATTGGTTTTTTTATATGATTTATAAATAATTCAGACCAAAAAAAACTGCTATTCAAAATAATATTAACAAATATTAACAACAAATGATGTGGGTGAAGGAAAGCGACGGTTAAAACAAATAAATAAAGTGTGTTATGCTTATTTTAATAGGTTTATTTTTTGGTTTATCAAATCTGCATCTATGAACAAGGGTTGTGTTATCATTAGCTAATAGGCTTCTTTACATCAATACACTTTTCTTTGACCAATGCCCAGATCAACGCAGAATATCGTGATTAAAATAAAGAAAAACCATTGAAAATTTTGTCAGTGTTGTTTTAGACATTGCAGTGATTTGTTTCTTCAGCTTTAGATAATAAGTCTTTGGAAGTTTTGTGTCTGTGCAGTGACTGAAAAATAGAGCCATCAAAAGCAACTTAGCAAATTCACGTAACTTATAAACTTTTTAAACATCTTTTTTGTAATTTATTCTACACTTGATCACATTAATAAGATTGTTAATTTGTGGCTTATGATTAACAAACTGCTGACAAGAGTAATTCTTTCAGGCTTAATCTGAAACACCTTTTCGACTATAGGAATAGATAAAGCAAGGAGTAGCTGGAGTAGAACAGTACTGTGTGATGTTTATGAATTTCAACGGCCATTCATGTGTCGTGAAATCTTCCTGAAAAAATTCTGTAGTTTTCATTGTATTTGACGTATTAGTGCTCTTTATTTTTTTGCGCTTCTGGAGATACGTTTGCCTACTGCTTATCGGTAGTTTCGAATTGGTGAATGACTGGAGGTTTTATTCGTCGAATTTGGTTTTATTTATCTCGACTTGGACATTTTTGCCGGATATTTTTTTGTTCGTCAACTATGTTGCTGTAAGATGAACTGTGATGTTCATGTGATGACTTGTCATCTGCAGATGAAAGAAAAAGTGCAGTTTCGCGTGAATATTTTACTGTTCACATCATCTTATTGTAAGTATTCATTCATCGTCTTGATTGAAAGGCCTTCGAGAGAACGTACTGCGTCGTGGCTGGAACTGTTTGGCTAGACAATAAGTTTTTGGAGGCCTTTTTTTTTTTTTTTTGATGGGCCAGCTGATTAGTTCTGTTGGCTGTTTTGTCAAGAAAAATTCAAATACTAATGAAACTGACCCCGACGACAAATGGTCTAATTTACATCGAGAACGGGAGAAAAATCATTTGTATAAAATAGTCGGAACCAGAACGGGTAAAAAATTGTTGTTTTATGGTTTTTTATTTTCTGCAGTTTTCTTTTTGCACGAAGATGTTCTTATAATTAACAAGCGGCGATTCCCTTGAAAAACTAAAGATGGCATTTGACTTTAGGTGGAGAACTTATTGAAGTATACGAAAAAGAGGGCAAAGAAGGGGTCCTTAGATTTGCTGCAGAGCGCTTGGTTCCAGCGATGTACAATGATGGTGAAAAACCTCAGGAGCTTACTTTTGCCGAATTCATTAAGTGGAAGAACGCAAACGTATTTCTTTTTTCTAAGCTTTTATTTTTTTAAAGACTTATTAAGATTGAAATTAATGTAAGAAGACAGCTCAAACTACAAAATGATCATAAAATAAGCATGTTTATTATTCATTAAGTGCTTGAAAAGCGGCAAAAAAAATGTAATTTTAGCCACCGATAAAATGTTCTTTTGAGTAAAGTGCTAATTCAGCTGTTACAAAAAAAGGAAACAAACAGGTAAATAAAAATAAAGAAATTACTTGCATTAGGCAACTTCTGTTTTTAAATTTAGCTTAGAGCTTAGTGCCATAAATACAGTGTATATAATTTTTTTCTTAGGCACGTGATCTGGGTTTACCAGAAGACCCAGGTCTTCAAGCGGAATGGGAAAAGAAATTTGTTGCTCATCCAGTACAGTATAGGCTGAACAAGCGTGGAATTCAAGGCGAAACAGTAATTCATCTATTGTTGTCGCGAGGAGAACCGGTTTGTATCGAAATTGCACGGATACTGCTCAAGCGTTATCCAGGCTTGGCGCTGGATTTTTATGAGGGAACAGAAATGTTTGGTGAGTTTACTTGTTGAACATGTAATTGAGTAAAACACTGTTCAGACAAATATTTTTATTTCTGTCACAGGTCACTTTAGTAACTGCTAGAGGTGTGAAATTTTGAGCGTCATAACGCTTTCGCGTTAGATTCTTTGAGCATATCAAATTTGTTCAAGCTCACTGTTTTGCAATACATACACTTTTTTGAACGCTAATAGCAACAAACGCATTATCATCGTTTTTTAGACAGCTATTTAACCAAAGAAAAGTGTTCAGGTCAAAGTGCTCTTCATCTCGCCATCGTTCATGATGAAGGGGACATTGTTCAGCTGCTGCTTGAATGCGGTGCAAATGTTAATGCTCGGGCATGTGGAGAATTTTTCCTTCCTGAGGATCAAAAAAATGGCATACGATCAACATCGAATTATCAAGGTTCTCGTACTAAAATTGTAATGCTGTACTGACAAATCGTAATGTTTTTCAAATTACTACCAAAATGAAGAGAATAAAATAATTAATTTTCAGTGTCATAAGCTAGTGTAGTAAAAATATGTGATGCATTTTTTCTTAGGTTATGCCTACTACGGCGAATATCCGTTAGCTTTCGCGGCATGTTTCGGTAACAAAGATATATATGATCTTCTAATTCAATACGGGGGTGATCCCAACATGCAGGATATGTTCGGGAATACAATTCTTCATATGTGTGTTATCAAATACAGCAATGTATACAGTTTATTTTCAACTTTCTTTTTCCCTTTTTTTCCTTTTTTTTTCTTTTTTAAAAGCTTAATCGTTTGGTCTTAGCGGTTTGATGACAGTAATACTGGGACATTGTGATAAGTTTGATCAAAGCTGTGCAACACTTTCTAGTCTGTTTGTTTCTAACTCATCGTCAACACTTTAGTCAATGTATAGTTATGCAGTAAGGCATTGGAGAAAGCCTGCTCATCAAAATGTAACTAATTACGCAGGAATGACGCCATTAACTTTAGCGACCAAACTTGGCCGAAAGGATATCTTTGAAGAGATGCTTGAGCTAATGAAAGTGGTAAATGTTTTTAGCACCGTTACAGCTTACTAATGTGAAACAAGTTTTTAACTGATTTAATCTAAGAGACTTGTGAATAGCATTTTTGATAACTGGACTGGTCTTGTTTGAAGGAATTTTGGCGATTTGGTGACGTCACCTGCAGTGCCTATCCTCTAACTGCCTTAGATACAATTCGTTCAGACGGTTCTACCAGTAAGTATCCTCATTACATTAGCAAAGCCGACCTTTCCTTTCTAAGCTTTACAATTTTACAGCTACAAAACTTATAGAGCTTGTATTTTTGACAAGTATAAGAAACATTTTTAGACTACGAGTCTGCTTTGATGACTGTTATCAATGGTACAACAGCTGAGCATATGGATATGATAGGAAGTGAGGTTATACAAAGGTTAATTGCTGACAAGTGGAAATCTTTTGCTAAGGTTGTTTATATTCCGAAAAAAATTAAAGCAGAACAAAATCAGTTTTAGGTTTAGAGTTTGAGCAAAATATGCAATTTATTTCGCTTATTAGTTTTCTAGTTTATAGGTAACCAAATTTTCATCATTTTTTTTAATTCAATTTTTTTAGTTTTGTCGGTTTATTCTAGCAATTTTATAAATAAGATTAAATGTATTTTTGATCAGAGATTAGTTTGTTAGATATACTGAAGAAGTCTAATTTATGTGGAGTAGACTGGCAGTTAAAGCAGATTTTTTTTGTAAACAAATTCTACTTTTTCTCAAATATTTGTGAGAATTACTCAAATGTTTGGATGTATTTGGTGATACGCCTCATTAAAATACCTGTCTGCACGTTCCTTTCTAATATCTTCTCAATTTTTTTAATCAACTCTTTTTATTTTTTAACATATCTGTGGCTAACTTCTAAATTACAAATCTCCTTTATTTCTTTTTTTTTTGCTTCTTGTTGCTTAATTTATATGTAGGATACGGCTGCAAACACTCACAAAGAGATATCATTCTAAGAACATTTAGTATCTGGGGATGTTGTGCTGCTAAAAATTGTGAAGTCTTTGTAACGGATTTGTTCTATTGCATATCATGAATAATTAAGGTGTTTCAATCAGCAACTTAATTGCTACTGTTAAGTGGAGTGTTACACCTAGAACTTTGAAAATTTTCCAATGCGCACAGTTGTCAACCAGTTGCTAATCAAAAAGTAAATTTTCTGAGTGCTGAACGTTTGTTTAATAAATAATTTTTTCAGTGGAAATTGTACCAACGACTCGGTCATCTTCTTCTGCATACGGTTTTTTTGTGTTTTGTTATATATACTCGTCCAACTGAAGTGGAACGAATTACATTTCAAGTGATGCACTGGGACGACCATGTTAGTCAAATTATTTAACTTAATCTGTTTTTCTCAAAATATCAAATTTTTAAATTTGAAGTTAGAATTTTACACAATTCCGGTACGATTGAGGTGCAACAAAGCTGACTAAGCTCTTTGTTCAAAAAAAGTAACTCGCATTAAACTGATCACACTCGATTCTTAACTTTTATTTAACAAAGTGACTTCATTGATAATGTGTAGGTTCGCCCCGAGCAAGAAAGTCCGCTCTTAGTGAAAAGATATTTCTTCTCCCAACTCCCTTTCTTCCATTTCCTGCTTTCTGTTCTAATTTTTCCTAAATGAGAGGCGAGAAGAAAGAATCAAATAAGATTATTCCTGTTAATTGTAATAATTCTGAAAAATATATAGGTACTTTTAGCTCAGTTTCAGCTAAAGGTTGATTTTCGCTTGACGTTAGACAAAAAATTTAATGACCTGTTTATTTCTTCTCTACAGAAATGCTATGCTAAAAACTTTCTTTTCAGAAGAATACTTTTTCGCATTTGAGATGCTCTTATGTAGTTTTTGAAGCCAAAAGTAACATACTCGTAAAGACACCTGCAGGTTATTTTGAAAACCATGACAAAGTAAAATGAAACTTACAATTTTTGACATAACCTCAAAACGAGAGACAGTGCCAATTACCAAAGAAGACTGTTGACAGACTATATTGTATGATTTGTATAATATCACCTTTGTACAAAACCGGAGTATTATAAGTGCTTAAAATGAATTTGCATTTCTGCTGTTATATTCAATTTTTTTCTTTCATTTCTCTAGCTTTTCATATATCCGCGTGTAATTCTGCCAGGAATCTCTCTTTTGAAATGTTTTCACTCGCATCGGAGAGAAGGTAGAAAACTCTCTCTAGTGAGGCGGAACCTGACAAATAAAAAATTTTTGGTCTATAATTTGCAAACTTTGTTAAAAGCACCTTCAACTTTTTAAAAATATTTTCAGGTACTTGAAAAAATTTGTGATTTTTGGATAGATGTCTTAGACAGTGAGAGAGCTAAAGATGTAGCTGACAAGAAAAGAATCTTTATGTTTGGCTAACTTAATCTGTGCGTAGTGTCGCACAAGATGACTGATGTTTCCGCACAACATAGCTCAATTTTTTTGTTATTTAACCTTGGGTAATTTAGAAATATTTGAGGCACCCTCATTAAGTATTTAAAACAGAAACATTCCTAATTTTAAAAGTTTTATCTTTTAAGCAGTTGATTGAAGATGACTTTAGCTGTTTTAAATGTGAGATTAAGTTTCTAATTAGTAATGGAAGTGATCTGCGTATGAGGCATTAAGCACTAAGTTTAGTGGTCTGATATTGATCATTTGTGTCTGCTTACTTTATTCTTCACTGAACTTATACTCATTAAGATTTCTGCCTTGAATCAAGCTTTGTTACATATCGCTTTACCAAAGTACCAAAGTTTTGCTGAAAAGCCTATTTGTCAACTTTACCATTTGTTTCCTGATAAGCAGTCATCTCTTCAATAGATTTTAAACTATTTGACCTAATTAGAAATACAAGGTACTTTCTCAAATTATTAATGTCTATATTACCAAACTGCTATAGTCTTGTTGGTAAATTTTTTTTACCATCTTTCAAAATGATTAGTTGTCGAAACAATTTAGAGCGACCTCATGTTTGAACGCCACATAACTGCTGCGTGCTGTTGATTTCTATTAGTCAATGTCCTAAAAAACCGTAATGTTTTATTGAAGAACAGTCTTTGTTCTCATAATAGCTTTATAAAGTAGAATTTTTCTATTATATGTTAGTTACGCTTTATAAATTTTCTGCTTTATAGGTCCGAATAGTATTTGAAGTATTTTTGATCCTTAGTTGTATTTATTTTGTATTTGTACAGCAGATTGGTGAAGTGAAAACTCAAGGTTTCTATCGCTACGTTCGTAATTTGGTAAGTTTGTCGTGTTTTCACCATCTGTTTGTCAATTATAGTCTGGTTTTCGTTGTTCTAAAAAATTTCGCTATAATCAACGGTAATGGAATGAATTAAATTTTCGCCTCTGGATTAGAACTGAATTAATGAGTTTTTGTTGCAGAAAACCGCTCCTGCAAAAGTTGTATTTTTTGTTGCTTGTATATTATTGCTGCTCTGTCTGCCCTGCAGGCTTCTCAGACTGATTCGTATCGAAGAAGCCCTACTTGTTTTCGCTTTACCTGGTTCTTGGATATTTTTTCTGTTTTTTGCAAGGTATCTGTTTTTGTTACTTTTACAAATTGTTTTGATGTTTTTTCTATTCAGATAAAAAAATTTTTTCAGGAAGATGATGTTTTAATAGTGTGTCATTTCTGTTTCAAAAAATTAATAACAGTGAACTTTCTAGGGTTTTAAAGTCAACAGGTCCTTTTGTACAAATGATATACAGTATGATTGCTGGTGATATGGTTCGCTTTGCTGTTATTTCAGCGATCTTCCTAACAAGTTTCTCGCAAAGTCGGTAGTTGACTGTCATTATTACTTTAATTTTTAATTATTAATAAAAGACATTTTTTCTGAACATTCTTTGTTAAAAATTTTATTAGGATTTTTTCGTTACTTTTTTTTAATCCTGCTTTCAGTATTTTATTTCTTGGGAAAAGATATGGCAGCGAAGCAGAAATTGGAAGAAGATAATCCAGACGCTTGTAGTATTACCGGCAATTATATATACACTTATTCATCAATTTTTGAAACCTTTATCACATTGTTCAGAGCCAGCATGTCTGGTTACGATGTATAATATATTTTGCCTAATTATTCTTTTTCCTAGCTTATATGCGGCAACTCCAATTTCGTTTACTCTTCTACTCAATTAATTTTACTGAAATTCTAGTATGAAGAGTTTGGATGCACCAACTACGAACCGTTTACAAAGATATCATTTGTTCTATATATGTTTATTATGCCTGTTATGATGATCAACATTTTGATCGCTATGATGGGCAACACTTATACAAAAGTTATTGTGCAAGCGGAAAAAGCTTGGAAACAACAGGTAACTTATTATTAAAAAATTTTAGAAACGAAATTTTAATTTTTTATCAAAATTCCCAAATATACGGTTTTATAATGCTCAATATACACGCGGCGAAGTAACTGGAGTGGCTAGAAACCTGGATAGGTGGGGTAGAAAACACTAAAAATAGTTCATTTTGAACAAATGTAAAAAAAATTTATTTTTCGAAATCTTGTCTGACTCAGAAAGCTCCAAAATATTGATAGTAAGTTTGAAAAAGTCGTTTAAATTGTCTTTATTTTGAAAACAAAAGATTCCAAAAGAAAACTTAAACAGAGTAAAGTAGTTGCAAGAAAAAATTTCAAACTTTTGCGAACATTTAAAATTAAGGTTTGTGGTTTAATCGGAAGATGGTAAAAGAAAGGCTTGCCAGTCGACTAAAATCTGAAGCAAATTTTTCCCTGTAAAAAAATTGCGCAAACAAAAATGAAAAAAGAGGAAACTTCATGTAACTAAAACCACCTTGGTTGGATAATATTACACGCTTTTCGAACTTCTTATATAGAATTATCTAACAGTACCTTAGTAGACGTGCCTAGAACTGAGCGTAACTCTAAAAACTATCTTCATCAATAACTACTAATCAATGTGAACTTTTTAAGCTATTCTGATTTGACCGTTGTTTAGTTTTTGAGAGCATCTAGTTACTGGTGAAAGTGAAATTTAAGTTCTTTTTTATACTGAACATTAACTTCGGAAAAATAAGTGATTGATAGAACTTAATTTTTTAGACAAAGCAGACTAGAAGGTAACTGAAACCAGAATAATGAAGTTTTACTTCTTTCAGTATGCGCAAATTGTAATGGTCCTGGAGCGTTCGTTCAGGAAAGAAGAATTAGCAGAATATCAACTAAAATACAGTATTCGTTTGCGTGAAGAATTCGAGGGTGGTATGGAAGTTCGCGGTCTGATGGTGTATAAGCAAACGAAAAAAACTCGAGCACAACAAAAAATACAAGCGCTCTATAATTGGAAGGTAACAGCAAATTTATTTGTAACATGTCCGCTTCTATCTTTTTCTCAGAGTCCACTTTTTAGCAAAACTAGCAGTTTTTTGTCTCTCAAATTAAAATATAGTTTTCATTAATTAATGACTGTTTTAGAAGATCGGACGGAAAGTAAAAACGATTATCGAAAACCATGGGGTTGATAAAGCTCTCTACTTCCTTCACTCGAACGACAGATATTTTGAAGATGGCAGTGTAATGCTAAAAACAAGCGAAAGCAGACCAGTAACTAGAGGACCAAATGTAAGTACTACAAAACGCGTATGAAAATTAAGCACAGATCCTTTGCATGGAAAAACACTCTTTTGCTTGTTATGAAAGGCTTTGTAACTGTTTTACTAGATGCAGAAAATCTCTTGTCCTTGAAAATCACCAGATGGCAGAGCTGTTTGTAATATTGACAGAGCCACACTTTTGCCTAAAATTAGATTTTTTCTGTTGCAGCATTGTTATTTGAAAAGGCGCAGCAATGAAGTTCTTCAAAAATTTCCCAATTTTAAACAAATTCAAGTGCTGTCAAGTCAAGCTGCTATCAGTGTCCGTCTTAGTATTTTAAAGTTAATTTTTTTCACTGATAATTTCGAGTCAGTCTAGCAATATTCGTATTATAGATGATGTCAAGACTAACATATCTTCCACTTTCCACAGAAGCGTCTCCGCCGGAAGATGTAATCATAGATAAGGATGTTCCGAATTACAATGTTTCGCGACCAGGTTCTATTAGAAGTGAAACGACGGTCCCAAGTACAGGCAAGCGGCACGAAATATATCTATTTCAAGTTCAAGTGTGAAAAACTTCTAGCAAAAATGCCATTATCAGATTCAATAAACATTTGTTGACGAAATGAACTAAGGAAAAAATAGCGTTAAGCCAAATGGTTAACAAATTCAGTATTACACCTTTGTTCAAGAACAGCAATATATATTAAGATTTTAATATTAACTATTAGTGCATATCCATTTTTAAATTTTTAAAGCGAGACAGTTTCTTATGTACCCTAAAAAGACCTGTCTAATCAGTAACACCTGAATGGCTGCCACATTATTCTGTTGTCAAACTTTTTACAGCTGCTAAAGTAATAATCTATTTAAGACAAGTTATCTGATAATGAAAACGAAACAGACACGGTCAGTCGAGATGAATCAATAATCATACAACGACCTTTCAAACCACTTCGAAAGAGGACTGTTGTGTTGCAAGGGATTCCGAGCATTCCAAATATGCCATGTGAAAGGGACATACCTCGTCGTATACCTCTTGTGGGAAGTGATATGTTTATCCGTAACAGTAGCAGTGGAACAGCGTCGTCGCGATCGCCGGCAAGCAGTTCACAGAAGGATGACAGTAAGTGGGCAGCAAAAAGTTAATGCAATTATGGAGCGTAAAAAACTGATGCAGTAATAATTTCAAGCGTCATCATTAAAAATATTTTTTTATTTTTCACTTTCATCACCAAATGAAAGTAAGAAATAAAAAAATATTTTTAGGACGAATACTCGATAACGATAAAGAAAGGAAACATAAAACTGAAATTATGATAATTGAGAGGCCATATGAACAGGCTTCCCATGAAGGGCGCTTTGTGACTCCAGCGATGGATGTAACTACTCCTCCTTCTCCATCCACCCCATCTGCTGCTGGCTTTCTGCCACCAAGAATGCCTGTAGTTACCGATATATCGTCCCATAACGAAAGCAGTGGTATGGTGATATATTAATATGCACCTGAGTATAGTAGACAAAACGTGACTCTCACATAGTCGAGAAGTTTTTTCGACTTAAAAAAGTGTTAAGCGGATTAAATGTAAAAACCACATTTTTACACACGAATTAAAGATGAGATGTGACTTAAAAGAAGAAAATTTGTCAATTAAAAGCTTAAGGTTTAGGCAGAGAGTCGGAATATGATGGTGAGTCGACAAGTAGGGATGAACCACTGATAACAAAGAGACCCCCAAAACGGGTTTTTCAAAGGCATTCTACAGCACCATTACTTAAAATTGCAAGTATGCCAATCGCTGGGGATACAACACCAAAAACGCCTGTTACAAAAACTGATAGTTTTTGTCTGTGTGACAGCAACGGTAGAATTATCTTCATTAAATGAATAAACTTCTCTCACTGCTAGAAACCACTGTTGATTCTTGACAGCTAACCAGATACGGATTATATCAGTGTACCTAAAAACTGTTAATCAACACATTTAGCATTGAAGAAAATTTGACTTCTTAGGGCAGAGCGAGCAGCGTTTTGACTTGTGTGAATACTAGGATACAGATGTATAGTGAACAAAACTTTGTTTTCAGGTCACCAGTCAAGTAATGATTCTGATTCCACAAGTACTGTTGATTCCCACATACTTCGAAAATCTAGTAAACGGGTTTATCACCGACATTTTATTGTGCCGGCGATGGAGATGCATAGTATGCCAAGTATGCCAAACCTTCCGAGTATGCCGAATATGCCATCTGCTGCTGGCGTACCATCAAGAGTGCCTCTTGTACACCGCGATTTGTTCAATCGCAATTCCATAAATGGCATTTTGCCTCCACCCCAAAACAACTAAATAATGTTGATATCAGTAGCAGCTACTTGTATCACTGTTATTGTCACTATTAAGCTCAAGATCAGTCAACTCGAGTGAATTTGTAAATTTAGTTTTAACAAAAAAATATTACGTTTAATTATTGTAAATGATGAAAACATTTTTACTTCTTTTGTTTACAAGTCATTCTTGTTGTTTTTTGGCTAGTCATACACGTCCACTCCGTTCAATTTGCCAATCTTGTTTGAAGCACAGAATTTTACACAAAAAGAGATAAAGGGCTGGTTTTCAATTAAAAACCATGAATTCTATGACAGCTGTTTCCTTGCAATGATTACTACTAAAATAGCTAAAAGAACAGAACTTTGAATAAAATCTAAGTTTTCAAAGGATTACCGGGTCGTTGAATGACCTTGTACCCTCACATGCTAGTGTTGAATTACAGATATTGCTAATTTCAGTGTCTTATATTTAACTGTTCTTGATATTTTTAACCTTTACTCTGTTCTGAGACAAACTTTAACTTATCTTCAATGACCTTTTCTTTTAATAAAAACTACTATTTGTGATTCAAAACTGTTTTGGGAAGCTGATCTGTTGCGCATTTATGGCGAATTGAGCTACCCATTCTTCTGGCCAGTCGACGCACGGTATTATAACTGTGTAATACTTTCTTTTTCCAAATTTACGCACTATTTTCTCTCAAATCTGGACCTGGTTTGTGGTCTTTAGAGTTTCTCAATTATACAAGAAGCAAGTAGTTTGAGATGCCAGGCAAAAAATAAATATTTTTTAAATGTTAGATGACTAGGTATGTTTCAGATATGAGAGAAAATGTAGAATTGTTTTGACAACATAACGCGACAAGTGTAACAAATAAAAAGATTTGAAACAGGTGAAATCTCATAAGCAACGGTTACCACACTGGTTCGCGACTCTTTCTAAACAAGCAGTATAAGACTACAGTATTACTAATAAAACGATGTTAGGTTTCAATTACATAAATTGCAAAAAATCCATAAAAAATTGCTTTAAAATGTGGTTTTAAAAAGCGCTTTTTGGAATGCATCAAAATACTGCAGTGTAGAATAATGGCAATCGTCAAAAGCGGCGTATTTTAGATACCAGAAATGAAACTGAGCAAAATTCTAATTGAGCTGCAGAGTAATTTGCACAAAAACATTGTCAGGAAATATATCTGACTTCTTGTTATTTTCCTGACAAATACAATTCATTTGTTAATCTTATTATTTTCGTTGACGCAGTTCTTTGGTACAGTTTCAAAGAAAACACATAAAATACAATTTACGCAGCGTAAGTTAAAGCCGACGTACTTTTTCTGAGTGGTGCCGCAGTAACCTTAAAATTTGTCTTGAAATAACTTGTCGAAATTTATTTGGCAAAAAAAAACCAAACAGTCATCTCAAAGGTTTTAAGCACATATAGTTACAACAAATTTTTAATTCGTAAAACTCCACATGAAAAAGATTGTGGGACCCAATTAATTCTTCGCGCATTTTCTGCTTTTTTTAATTTAAAAACTTCTAGTCTTTTGTTCGTACAAAGCACACAATCGTCTTTATTTTTTAAAAATTGTCCTTGCCCACAAAAAAAAGTTTGATTAAACTTTCTAAACACGAAGAACAATTTTAATAAATAAGAAGTGTATAAAGTGAATTCATGCTTACACTGTTCCGTACAATTACAATTTTAATAACAAATAACTGCTCAACTGTTTTGTCGAGGCTTTGCAGAATGACTTTTCATCATGTCAGGACAGTTCTTGGAATCCAAAATATTGAGGAAAATTTGCTATAAACTCTCCGGCTAGCAGTTTGAATTTCAAAACACCTTGTCAAGAAAGAACCCTTTGAAAATTCATTTTAAAGAACGATTGATTAATTTTTCGCTTTGTTGAGGATTTTTAGAAGGTATCAAAAATATTTTACAATTCAATTGTCAATAATACCTGAAGAAGTGCTTTTGAAAATGCTTAACAGAAATACGGCTAAAAAGCAAAGAAGAATCAAGAAAAGAGGTGAGGATTTTCCAGTAGTGAAGCCGCCACGGTGTCTATAGTGCTCATATTCGAATCCCTTTAAACAAAAGATAATTTTTTTGGAAGAAATTATTTCACAATTTTTTCGTCTTGCTGTGGGTGAATTAGTTCCCTCGGCTGGAATCTTAACAACTCAATTTCAATTTTTTGTGAAAACCAAGTCAAACAACTAGCTAAATCCTTAAATTCAAAAACCAATTAACATTAGCAGTTAAAAACTGATTTCACTGATTTGATTTGTTAAGTAAAATTTCTCTATGGTTCAGAACAGTCAAAAGAGAGAGAGAAAACAGCAAAATTAAGTTACTCAATTGAGTTTGCGTAAAATAGCAACAATCTGAATATATCACTTGCAAAAGCACCAAAATCTTTTTTTTCCAGTGAACCTTATTTTTTTAAGTTTTCAACTTTTTAGAAAGAAAGGTCAACTTTTTCTCTTTTATTCCTTTCTCATCTACCAGATCACCTCTTCTATTGCCTCACTCTCCCATAGTCGACGTATAATTGAACTTCAGTAAACTAGAAATAAATGAGAACTGTTTATAAGAGTTCCATCGTGTTAGAATCTATGCTGGAAAAACAACATGAAAGTTTTGCACGTCAGTTGTCTTTATTAGAAAGTACTTAAAATTTTCCAGAGTTTGCACCAACAACTTTAAGTTCCAAACCATGCAATCCCGAACTAAAAGCTTCCGACGTTTTCTTGTCCGCTTGACCCTTCACTCACAGAACTACTGATACAGTCGATTAAACACCCAGAAAAACAGGTCACATAAACGATTAAGTTACCTCTTAAATTCATTCTTAGTTCTATGCATTTCCAGTTTCATTGTTCTGAGGTCCGTTGACTGGAGTAACGTTTCATTTTCGTCATAATTTAATGTTTGAACAAAAGTTTTTAAAAAATCTATATCACTCCTAACGAACTGCTTTGTAGCATATTTCTGATTTTTTACCGTTCCTCAAAAACTTTTCTTGCAAAAAATTGTGTCCAACAAACGGCTCTTTGCTCTTTCTGAACAGTTCACTGAATGAACTAATCTCGGCTTCCTTTGCACCACCAATGAACATAGCTGGAATATAGTTCGTAACAAGTTTTAACCACGTACAAACGTTCAAACAAAAGTAAACTATCCAGAAAGTTGCCTACAAAATTTGGAAATGTTTTTCTTTTTTGATTAATTTCTTCAAATCTGTAAATTGCCAACATATAATCAAATAAATTAGACTGAAACATTAACCAGCAAAAAGAAACAAATGTGTGCAATCAAACACGAACTAAAGAATAGTTTACAACAATAACTGCTTTATCTTAAACCAACAATCAAACGTCCAAATCTTTGGGAAAAATTGAGGTCAGCAAAAAATCTTTAACACTAAACCTAAAATCTTTTTTTCGCGCAGTTACTATGGTTCACCGTAAATAGAAAGCAGTAAAGCAATTACTATTATGATTGATGCAATTGGTCATTAAAACGACAATGAAAGCTTACACATACTGATAAAAAATTGTTTAATTTTTTCAACAACAAACGAAAACAATTCAACTCAATGCGAAAAAAAAAAGAACACTTTCAAAATTGAAAACTCAAAAAAAAAAGACTTGAAAACAAACGACGACATATGGAAACAATGAAATATGTATACGTGTATAGAAAAGTGTACATAACGAGATCATACCCAAAAAAAATAAGTACATTGGTACCTTGGGATGTGCCAACAAATAGAAAAAATCTTTTAGAGCAACTTTTCAAAAATATCTTATTTTTTTCCGGAAATATTGTAATAAGTTACAAAAGATGAAATAAGAGCATACAGTAACTGTCTATTTACATGAGATTCAATACAGCAAAATGAATTACACATATAATTTTAAAAGAAGTGAGAATAAGAGCGAAAGACGGCATATCAAAAATGGCCGTTGATGATTTGTTACAATAATATCGATTACCCACAACTGCAACAATTTTTATCAGCATCAGAATTCACAAGTTTGGTATTTTTAGCTTAAACTGTTTCCCCTCGTCAAAGTCTTATTAGTGCAAAAGAAAACATATCTAAGAATGTTTTGATCATACAAAATAACAAAATTTGAGTATCTATTCACTTTCTAGTACTTTTCTCATTTTTCTAAACCCCAATGAAAGAACTGTGGACTAACAGCAACTGCATTTTAATAACATAACTATAAGTTAACTTTAAAAGAAGAAGAAAAACAAAAAAAAGTGGAAAATTTTTGCGATATAATTTTTGTGTACCTGAATACTGTAGTGTAAAATTGTCGGTCATCATCTACCTTTCAGTTCCCAGCCGCAACATCTCAAAAAAATTTTTTTTTGTAAACTCATCATAGAGGACGGTAATAATAATAGTAGTTGTAATATGAATAATAATAATAATAGTAACGAATGTACAGTGTACAAGAAAGGCAAGAAAAAAAACCAACTGAAGGCAATAACGAGAAAAAAAGAAGCGATCATCACTGACTGTGTTAACAAATATTCGTACTCACAGAGTATCGTTGCTATACATACAGGGTGCTACTAGAACTACAGTTTCCAACCGCTGTGTTGTTCCTCCATTTCTCCTGAAATCTCACCTTCAATATCTGGTCACTGTTCAGCGACAAGAGGGTCCATTTGATGATGATTATCTAGTTGAGCAATCAATCAACACCGGTTCAAGAGCTAAGAGAACTGAATAAATACGACGATTGTTAACAAAAGTATTCTCTGTTTACTATAGCATTATTATTGCTATTAGCAACCAGTGGTTCTTCAGATCTGCTTGGACTGCAATATGCATGGATATTTTCGTTGGTTTTATAAACTCCATCTGGACGATTTCGAATCCAACAGACGATAATGAGCACCAACAAAAATACTGTTGATCCAGCAATAATTCCAACAATAGCTAAATTAGACCAAATGACGTAATTAAAGATGCTTTTTATTAGTCACAAAGACCCAAAATAATTATCAGATTTAATGTACAGCAATCTTGACAACTGTAAAGTCAGGTTTTAGTTCAGTCATAACTAAACAATTAGTTCAATAGAATAAGGAAACACAAAAGCACTGCCACTTACGCGTGAGAATGCCTACAATAGATGCATTAGACTGTACAGTAACGATTCGAATATTGGGGTCAATTACTTCTTCTTCCAGTATCAACTTCGTAGGTTGATATCTATAACAATTGATTATAAATACTTGCAGAAAATAAATCAGCCACATATACTTCTGTACTTCTCAGTAAAAGAAGCAGTAGTAACTTTGATGTATGAGTAACTAACTCGTGGTCAAACGGACATGTTCCTTGACGGATTTTTTCCGTATGTATCAACCGAGTAGAAGAAGGATCTTTTAATGGGAATCCTTTTCCAACTTGCATCCGCATTACGCAACCCTCAAAACCTAAATGCACTTTTCCTACTAAATAGTGCAGGCAAAAATAAGCTAGAATTCCAATGACTAAAATTACAGAAATAAAAAAATATAAGTGTCCAAAAAATTAATTGCTTATTAAAAAGTTTTCTGACGGCTGAAACTGTACCATCATCCAAAAACTTCCAGACATTAAGAGAATCAAAAAAACTCCAATTGCCGCTTGAGGTGATTGCCTTTTCGCCATTTATCTAGAAGACAAATTGTGTGGCATATTTAAGCAATTAAAAATGAAGAGGTTTTGATTAACGGGCTTCTTTTAGAAACAGCTGTTAATGAATAATAGTTGCGAAAAAGCAAAAAGAATGGTTAAACCAGTCTTGGAAAATTAATAATAGTTAAGTGTTAGGCGAAATACCGCAGAAGAATCAGAAACCAATGAATGACAAAAATTTGAAGAAGTCAATCTATTTATACAAAAAATTCAACCATTTTTCATTTTCAAGGAATAATCAAGAAAAAAATGTGCAGTCAAAAGTATTCAGTTACTTACATGTAGTTTGAATCCCTTTGCTGTTCCACAAAATTGTACATCAGCTATTTGGTAGAGATTGAGCCTTAAATGTTGGTTAGACTGCTTGAAATGAGCTCCAGTTCCATCAAAAGCTGATACTTCTAACAATCCTAAACACCACAAGCGAATGTCTTGAGCTACATACCTACTTCACACTCCCTGAGAAATCAATACGAAAGCTAATCATATTTCAAAACTGGCTATTATTTTTATGTATTGAACCGAGTACATCCAATGAATGTCCATCAATACAGTTCTGTTTAGTATTTACTAAGTAGACCGTTAATTATCGAATAATTTAACTCAGATGATCAAAAATCAAAAAAAGAACATTAAAAATGCTGCGAAAATACTTTTTACTTACAGAAAAAACCGTAAAAATATACAGAATTTCAATAGAGCTAAAGATCTAACATGTAAAAACCCAAACTTTTAAAATCCTCAAAAACTTGATTTATAAAACTGATAAAAAAACGCTAGATTGTAAATGTCTTTACGGTTCTAGAGTAGTAACAGTTATAAACAAAAAATGACGTTATCCCCATAATCTAAAAAATTATTTTCACATACCTTCTTCATTAACCGTGAGGTTAAGTTGAGCCTCAGAGAAATGAGCTTTAGCACGGATTAAAGAATATCCTATCGACTGCGAAACGACTGCTATTCTGAAGCACGGAGCTAGGTGATCAGGATGCTGCCACAATATTGAGAGTTCGGTTCCATTCTTCACGGACATCCCGACGTCTAAAACAGCCAAATTAAGAGATGTAACCTTTCCATCGGAATAAAAAAGCGACACTCGAATACTGCTTCTCACCTTGTTCACATCTTTCGCCACCGAAAGGCAAATCAGAGCAATTGCATCTAAAGTTATCAAAATAGTCAATGCACACTCCACCATTGACACAAGCACCTGGTTCGCATGCTCCAACATCGCCAATTTTAATACCCTGAAAGTTTTTTAACGAAATAATGCACCAACAAAACTGATTTTACTCAGAAGTTATACGGAAATTAATATATACAACTAATTTAATCACATACTTTTACATTGGGTTGTTTTTGCAAGTGCTGTTTAAGAACCAACTCTTTGCCACATAAGTGAACACTTTTAATTGCACCCGCAAAACCAGATAGTCCACTGCTGGTTCGAGATCCTAAAAGAGAAGATTTCCTAATTCGCCAATCAGAGCTTTAGATCCGATAGAAGCAATATAAGCAAGCATAAGAAGAGTAACCACCTATCACCCATCGCGACAACTGTGGCATAATAATCGACTGCTCGTCTGCAACTTCTTTTCCGTCCACTGACAGCATAATACCTTGTGAGTTTACTTCCCAGTAAACGAAATGCCACTGGCTATCATTTAGATACTTTGGAAAAACAATCTCAAATGTAGTTCCACCATTCATCAGCTGACCCACAAGTTGTCCATCTAGAATAAAGTTGTAGCCTCTCAGATAAGATTTAGTGGCTAATTGAAATAAAAAGGAAAAAACTTACTTATTACGTAGAGCACAAACCAACGCTGTTGATTTTCAGACTCCCAAGTGAATATTGTTAACTGTGGGTACGAGAAACGCACTACCATTGAAACGTCAAAAACAACTCCATTAAAATACTCTTCACCTTGCAAACTAGCGTCTCGGTCGTAAAATGCCAACGGTACATCCACAGCTGAACATTTCAATAAAGTTTCTTTACTATATTAAAAAATTAGTAGATCGTCTTGCAAGAATAAAAAATATAGAGCTTTACAAAACTTTCATGCTTTCAAACTATTGCGGAAAAAATGAATCAAACCTCTGTTCCAGCACCTCAGCGGTCCAATAGAAACATTCAATGACGAAGTTGGAGAAGTACCGCCAAGGTAGAGTGACATAACTGGAAGAAGCAACGCATGTGTGTTGTAACCTTCATCTACCGCGTTCTCGCCACTGTCACAGTTACAGAGCCTGCAGTAAGCGAACATATCGTAAGCAGTTCTTATTATTGAAGTTTCAAGAAAACAGGCAATTGAAGCAAGTTCAGCTGTTAACTGCGTAATCGAGTATTAGCAAAAGTAACAACTAACCCGTTCCTCAAACATGTAGCTGATGCATTTAACGCGCATGAACACATTCCTGAAAATGGAGGAGCGTCACCCCACTGTAGACCATGTTGGCCATTTCGAATACTATACCAAGACGACGGACGTTTTTCGTCGCCATACATCATCAGCTTCGTCCCACCCATACATTCAAAACGCATATACTAAAAACTCTACTAAAGAATGGAAAAAACACTTACTAGTAATGTAAAAAAACGGAAAGTCTAAAATGGTGTGATGATACTTGTTTGTAACAAATGAGGAAATTCTGTATTGGATCTATTAGTTGTATAAGCTCTTCCACTGACCTGTTTGCAGTTTTCGAATCCATCAACAAAACGATCTAATGCTGGAAGTTTTAAATGATAATTTAAATTCTTCCGAATGTTCCCAGGTTCAGTAGTGCCGGAAATAGAAACACCGTTTGTATCAAGATCATGATATAGTGATGTGACAATTTCTTCGACACCATCGTTCGACAATCGTTCGCACTCCGCGGAAAAGGCATCAAGTGGATGGCCACCATCCAAATCCAGAGTTATATTACTGGAAGCTCTTTTTGGAGCCAGTGTGAAATACTCTTCACATGAATGTCGAAATCGAGCTAAAAATGCAATGCAACTCCTAGGTTAGACGAAACGTATTGCTTCTGAAGTCAGCTGTTAACTTCAATCTGAGGAAACTAACGAACGTACAAGCATGACACAGCCTCCCGTAATAGTTCTTCGCGCAAATACATGAAAATTCGGATAGAGAAGTTTGTTCACAGCGTCCGCCGTTCCTACACGGGTTTGGTGAGCATCTGAAAAATCTTAGGTGCAAATCGAATATAAAAATACCTACTATGGAAAATTTTTGAGTGTACTCTTTCTGTAAAAACTGATCGGTAGGGTCGGTGAAGTAATATTAGAATTAATTGTTTATGGGTGTTCAAAAAAGTCGTTTCATCATCATCAGCATCATACAAAAAAAAAAAAAAGAAAAAATATTTTGCAGGTATTCTTCAAGCAAACTAGTTCTTACGCTGTCATTAAAACTGCAGTATTATTTTAGACAGTTTTGAACAGATGATCATATAAATTTATATATCTCAAAAAATTGAAAAATAAACTATAAATGTTACCTGCTTACAAAGGCACATTTATCTCGAGGAACGCTGCCTAGGGTACGTGCAGAACTAAAATCAATAGTTGCTGATCTGTAACACCCTATGGCTGCTATATGAAACAGAGAAAGCTCTCGACTTATATGTTTTACAATATATCCTTCTATCCACAAGACTCGTTGAAGATCGACGTCAACATAAAAAGTGCTGCCTCGTATCATTACGGAAAGAGAATGCCATGACCCGTCAGCAACATTTATCTCTGTAGTTAACATAATGTCACTACTATGAGGTGTAAAAGAAACGAGAAAAGCCCAAAATAAATAGACATATCATAATGTTGATAAGCAGAAGCAATTATGTTGAAACCTGGATTTGAAACTTGTTCTTGCGGAATTGATTCAGCAGAAAGTATCAGTAAACCCTTTTCATTGAGTGAAATATGTACAAGTGGATGGTTTCGAGCATCCTTCAAGACTAGCACTGTAGACGGCACAGGCAGTATTCGAAATTCAATTTGAAATGGTAAGAATGTGTAACGAATTTCCGCAAAAGCTCCTGGATATATTGTCATCAGCTGAGGTTTTGGCATCTAAAAAAAATGTTTCTTTATAAGCTTCAGTTTTTTAAGATTAGACTACTATTCCAGAAGATATACTAATGATAGAAAAACAATACTTGGCAGTCTTGCAGAATTTCCATAGGCACTTTTGCCAAAATGTTCACTTTATTTAATTCCACTCTAGCCAAGCAACCATGAAACGATGACTCGATAGGACTTTTCTCATTGTCAGGTGGCCGACCAGCAATATGAATCTGGAAAAGTAGGCATATAAACATAATAAAAATAATTTTTCATAAGTCATACTGTCACTTACTTTGAAGAATGTTTTTGATTAACAAACTCAGGAACTATAGTTTTAGTTCAAAACGTCAGTGTGTCTAACAGGTGCTTTTGAAAACATTGCAAAGCCAAAGTGAAAATTATCTACAGTTAACAAAATGATTTGCATAAAGCCCTTCATTACGTTTGAAAATGTCATTTCAAATAAACTATTTTACAGACTTAGAATATCTTCATCCATGTAACAGTAGCAATTTAACGATTAATTTTCCATCATTATTTAGCTAAGTTTTTTCTGCTTAACACTTTTGGAATACTTTCAATTATATACAGTACTGTTCATTCAAATAAACTTAAACAGTAAGTCCCGATTT